AGAAGATAAGTGGAAATAGGAGGGGGAAATTGTCTAAGAATTTGAGAATGTTTTGGGGTTTTTTCTCTTTCTTTTCCTTCACTGTATGGTTTTTCTGCCTTGGCAAAACAATTCAGAAAATGAGATGTTCAATTTTCTTGCTAGGGAGCAGTTTAAAACCGCTGTGTACAGTTGCCTGTTGCATTGAGGTCTTACTGTGGCTGGTTACAGTAGTGATGTTGCATGATGAGGGTATGACATAGGGCTGTTTGTGCTAAGTTGCACATTCGTAGACAAAATACCTAGAGAACTGAAGTATAAGGAAGAGGAGAACAGTAGTTGTGTGGCAGGGAAGAAATATATTTAGCATGTTTAAAAAACCCAACTAAATAACATGTAACTTGCTATTTCTGATGTGTTAAGCTATCCAAAGAGATTAAAGAATGCATTTTGTAATGGAGATAAAGGTATTTAAAGTGTAACGTATGCATTAGTTAATATTAGGCGCTTTTAAAAATTAATACCCTCCTTTATAAATCAGTGTGATAGGAATTGCTTAATCGTTTACTGAGAAGTAGAGATGTTCTTTATATGGCTTCTTGTTCAATGTGTTAGTAGACCAAAGGTGATTTGTATTCTTTGAAATTTAGAGTTACTTTCCCAGCACTTCAGTGATTTAAAGTCTTGATTTCATCACTTCAGATGGTCTTGTTTCTCACTAGATTTCAGGAACAGCAAATGCAGGAAGTGACTGGTTGACTGTATACATTTGGTTTTCATTTTTGAAGGGCTGAACACCTAAAAATAGATTTCCAGTACAGCTCAAGCCTACAGAACAAATAAGGAACGTACAACATTGCAAGTTACAGGAACAAGTAATACATCAGGAAATTCTGCAGAAAAGAAGTAGTTGTTTTTGAAATTTAAACTCCAGAAGATAGTGTAGATTTGATCACTTCTGGGCAATTTTTTTCATAGCATGGCCTTACCATCAAATATTTCTTTGCTTTGGGGAAAATGTTCTGTTGTTTTTAGTCATTGATTGCGTTGTACTTGTGACTTATCTGGAGGTATTATTTGCCTTTTTACATGTCTTCATTTAATAGTAGCCAGGCTTTTGAGAAAAACTGGTAATTATTCCCTGTGTTACATTTTTTTCCAAAATGATCATTGCTAGCAAATAGCACTCTGTCTTGTACACAGTCGTGTTGATTCAGGAATGAGTTGTTGGTAACACGATACTGAATGCAGAATAATCTGGGGTTGCATTTTTGATTTAACATCAAGATTATTGACCTTTTCTCATTCCTACTGGCTGTAGATATCTAAATTCTCTTGGAAAATAGCCGCCTAGTCACTCAGATTTATTCCTTCTGAATGTTGTCTGATCTAAAAAGAATTTTAGTTGACTAATCAGTATTGTGTATATGTTAAATGAAAATATTGATGTAGATTCATAAAGTTGTTTGGTTACCTCAGGGGTACAGGAGCGGTAGCAGCTTTTATTAAGCTAATTGTTGCATCATTTAATAATTAATGTTAATCTGTTCTTCCTGGTGGGAATCCATACTGGGTAAGATTTCTGTTTTGTTGAAAAATACCTTTCTCTTTGGCTTTAAGAAATGTATAATTATACTACTTGTTCTGATGAACTTAAACAGCTCACTGGAGGGTTTGCAGAATATATGCAGTATTTACTGATGGTTTTGTATCAGATTTGTAGCTAGAAAGTTTATAAAAGTTAACTTCTAGTTATATTTGCAATAGAGGGTACAAGAAAAAATATGTTGCACTTCTTAAAAGCTCTCTCTCTCACTTCTTTAAAAGCTCTCTCAGTATTTATCTGTCAAGAGATGAGGATTTTGTCTGGCAATGTATTACTTCACCCCATGTTTGGAGCGAAAAGCAGGAATATTTAAAGGGCTTAAAAGAACACTAACAAGCCAGTTAAGGCAAAAATCTCTCTATATATCCAATTAGCATCATGGTGAGAGAAATGGTAATAAGCAACACAATAATAAACTGAATCTGAACTAAGCTTTTGTCCTTTTATAGCATTTAAACATAAATAATTCTGACAGATGTCATTTTTCATAAAGAAGGTTGCAGTAAGACTTAAAAAGTCTGGCAACAGATAAAAGCTCCTTATGTTTTATGAGGGATTGGTTATCTTCTCTTACTACTTTACTTTCGTTGCTGTGCAATATGTATATATATATATATATCACACAGTGTGTAAATTAGAATGGACAGATAAGGTCTTTGTTTCTCACTTTTGATTAAATTAATAGACATAATTAAATCTGGCCAGAGATGTTGAGAGGAGCAAAAAAGCTTCTATAGGTATGTCAGAAGACTAAGGATAATGAGGCTGCTCTCCAGGGAGTCCTTATAGCGACCTTTCACTATTTAAAGGGAGCCAGCAGGAGAGAAGGAGAGGGAAGGGACTCCGTTGTCCGGGTGTGCAGTGGTAGGGTAAAGGGTAATGGTTTTAAACTTAGCGAGTAGATTTAGGTTAGACATTAGGAAGAAATTCTTTCCTGTGAGGGTGGTCAGACGCTGGCACAGGCTGCCCAGAGAAGCTGTGGGTGCCTCATCCTGGCAGTGTTCCAGGCCAGGCTGGATGGGGCTTTGGGCAACCTGCTCCAGTGGGAGGTGTCCCTGCCCATGGTGGGGGGTTGGAACTAGATGATCTTTAAGGTCCCTTCCAGTCCAAACCAGTCTATGATTAATGTGATTTTGCAGCACTTAGACAAAGTGCTTGTCACTTCAAAGTGAAAATCTTAGATTTCATTATACTGATCTGGGGTTATTTTTCGGCACAGCCTCCAAGTCTTTGTTCTTGCATCCTCTTACTCACACAACCTGTTTAACCTCCTTGTTTGTGAGTCTGGTGACCTCTTGTGTTTCCGGTCGTCTTTTCAGCTGAACAGCCTGAATCCTCAAAATAAGTTTGCTTACAGGTGGAAGTTTTTGAGATCACATAGAAGTAATGTAAGTACTCATGGTAAAGATAGTTGAGTCTGTTGCTTTGTGGTGATTGGAGCACATCGGCTGGTGGTGAGGACCAGCAGAAGAGAATTGCTGGGATAAGGTGACAGAAATTGTGAGGGATGAAGAGACTGAAATTGCATAGCGCCTAGGATGGCCTTTCTTGAGGGAAGCAGACTTGTTGAGCTTGTTTAGAGCAAGTTGAGATTGGGGCGCAGGAGGAGGATGAAACTGTGAAGAAGGAAGATAGGATTAGCAGGTGGGATCAAAGATGCCCATGACTGAGGCCTGACCCCTTCCACCTGCTCCCTTGTAGAGCCTGGAACACGTGGCTGGAGAGGAGCAAGCCCTCCTCCCCACTGGCACAGCCACTTGTAAGCCCTTCTTTTCTGTCACCTAACTTTCTAGCTCCACTGATGGATATCTAGGGGGAAAGTTGGGTGGCCCTTGTGAGATCAATAGAAGAAGATGGAGTTTGGTGGTTTTGGGGATTTCTTCATTTAATTGTAGACAAAAGATGTGTAATAAAGTTGGTATGAAGACTGAAAAGTTAGTCTCTTCAAGGTTCAGGAAATGCCAGCGTCGGGCTTGCCTTTGCAATTTTTATTCAACCCTCTGATCTATGCATTCTTTTACACCAAGTAATGATCAGTTACATACTGGTTTTTCCACAATATTTCTTGTCTACTGACAGCTGTGGTAGAAACGCCCGTATGGAAACTACTACTTAGCTTTAGAGAGCAAAAATGAGGGAGCAATAACCAACCTGGAACTTCTCACTGCATAGAAAATAATATACGTAGCTTTGTACTGAAGTGATTGCCCTTCAGTCTGGAACTACAAGCTGCAGTGGCTTCAGCTTGGAGCACTGGCAAATCTACTGCGAGACTTTTCCCTTCACTTTTAAAAATGCCTTTTTGAGAGATCAGATAAATAAACTTGGATTAGACAACAACTCATGAAGTTGTTGTGTAATCCAAGTTTATTGCTCTTATAGCTTGAATGACTGTGCATCTTTCTGAAGGATGACGTGCTTTTGATCTGAGGTGCAGCTGACAGAGTCCTGTTTGACAGAAGATGTTGGGAGACCTTTAAAATGTTTCCTGGAAAGGAGCAATGTGACTCCATTTATCACTAACTTAAGTGATCAATAAGTCATTTCTCCTGGCGAATACACTCGCTGTTTTGGGAGCAAATATATGCTCAGATTGTTCTTGTTGTCATCTGCCTGAAGAAAAAAAAAAAAGACATGTAATTTTACCAGCATCCTCCTGGCAGATGCAAATTTGATAATGCTTCAATATAATCCCTGCATTTCCACTAATGCATTAAATTTGCATGCCATACAGTTTCTGTTGAATAATAGTGTTAGACACCTGTTGGCACTTCTTTTTCTAAGTAGCCCATGCTCCTTGATTGCTTGAGTGCTTGACTTTGTACTGAAAATACAGTATTAATAACAAAAGGTGATCTTAAAGTATACATGAAAACATATATAGCAATCCTTAAAATATGTATTGCTATAATCAGTGCTATAAAAACATTTTTGCTGTCTTGTGCTTTGTCCTCGTGTGCTAAAGGCGTTTCAGGCTCCCTGCCAGAACTACTGCCCATCTGAAATGAATACCACAATCTACCAGGAGGAATGACTGTTGGTTCTCTATATGGGGTCTGGTAGATCACAAAAATGTGTTTTTCTTGGTTTTGTTTGTTTGTTTTAAACTATTATATTATTGTTGTTACTTTGTTTCCTTTTCTGCAGCCTGCTTTATTTCAGCAAAGGATCTGTGTGTCCAAGGAAGGGCATAATGTCAGAATTTAAAAAAAAAAAAATAGTTTTGCAGCAAACTAAGAGAGAGTTGCTTTTTGGGTGTGATGGGCCTGAGAGTGCCGTCAGGGACCAGGGAGGCCAGAGGCATCGACTCATTTGGTAGCTCAGGTGTGGCAGTGGGGATAACTGTAGTGTGACACAGGGGCTGTGCTTGATGCTTACGTATTCGTCTTAAAGATTTGTTCTTTTATATTTGTAGGATCTACAGCTAGAATATGGTCATGGTCCTCAATGTGGCTACTTCTTGGGTGCAAATAAGTGAGTAAGCAACAGTGTTTTCTGTCTTCAGTTCGCTCAAGACTGTTTTCATATAAAAATTGCAAGTGTGTGTTAAACACATTAACTGAAATGGATGTAGTAAATTATGTCACTTGTTTCTATCAGTTAAAATTTAAAAAATCACTATTTATTTCTAAAATAATAGTGATTCCAATGATACAGAATTATAGTACTTTTCAGTATTTGAGCCTGTGTTGACCATATTCTCTCTATGGTGCTGTAAGCTTCTTTTTCAGAGTCTTTATCTTGGTCTGCTTGTAAACAGAATGTTCTACGTAAGTCCCACAGAGCACAATTTTACCCCGTCTAGGAAGTACCAGTGCTGCTCTTTGACATTGCTTTATGCCCTTCTTCATGTTGTAGGGCACTAGGAGCATTCAATTATAGATGCTATAAAAAAAACTTACCAGGCTCAGCAAAGTCCTTTAACTTCATGTTCATACGTTTAATAATTTTGTTGTATTAATCATATGAAATAGTTTTCCTTTCTACCCTATTTCTTAATTACATTTACGCATGTCAGAATCAGGATGCCTAGCTTTTCTTTGCTAAATTAAATGATGTTTTAAAAATGCAGAAAATGTAAGCGTAGTACATGATACTTTTATGCAGTCATTTAGCTAGGGAAGGTATGAATACTGATATCTTCTGAAATCCTGTTGTTTTTCATCTCTGTGGTTTGCCTGCTATTCCTCTCTGTCTGTGTTTTCAGGCAGACACTAAAATGAAGTTCAGAATGTTACAAAAATTAACTAGGGAAGAATGAATTTATTGCAATAGTAGTTTAATTTCCTTGTCAGACTGATTTTTTAAAAAAAAATTATTTTCTTGGATACTGTGGATTTGTTTAAACTGGATCAAGCAGAGCAGTCCTTGTTCTAGAGTACAAGGAACAAGGACCACTGCACTTAATAGCAGTGCATTAATAAACATGTTTGAAAATGTGTTCTGTTTAAAAAAAACACAAAACAACCAAAACCAAGCAGCTATGTTCATTTGTGTGTGGGTATTTGATGTATGTTCTGAAAGCCAGTTGAAATAACATGCTTTGGATTATTTACTGATAGAATCATAGGAGCATTTGCCCTGGCTTTTGTTAATTTTGTGTGCCACAATTAAACTGTGTTCTTATTCTTATTTAATGCTAAAGGAGTCTCTTAAAATCAGTTGAAGAAGAACTGCATCAGCGGTAATTCTATTCTTTTTTTTTTGTTCCCCTCTTGTGTGTCTCAAAGTCATTAGTGTGTTGATTTCTTATGTCTGTCACAGCTAGCTGTTTGTCCCTGTACTTGCTGAGAGGATATGGGAGAGGTTTAGTTGTCTGGATTGCAGCTGTGCTTTAAAGAGTAATAGTGATAAAAAGCTAAATGACGGTAAAATTCTGTAAAAGAGATAGTAGCCCTTGAGCTCAGAATTTTTCACAGTAGCCAAGATAATTTTAATACAACTCACTCAGCCATAGTACCTTGTTCATTTTCTTAGGGGACATGTGGCACATTTAGAAGATGATGATGATGCAGACGATGATGCTAAACAGTAAGTGCTTTCTTCTTGTAAAAAATAAATAAATATAAAAGGTGATTCTTGAATAGATAAATTGTGTTCTATCCCCAGTGGCTCAAGTTTATTCTTCTTCTATGGCATTTCTAAAGATAGGCTTTTAGTGTTGTTCCTAGGTTACATAACCACAAGTTTTCTTATTCTGCTGATAAACTTGTGATAAATTGGGGTAAAAAATCTTGTTCCTTGCTTGATACAGTTGTCCTCTTATCTTCTGTTACTGAACAAGGTCTTGATGTAGTTACACTGAGCCAGTCATTAGTCTAACCTCAGTCCTGGTGTCTGCTTTAGAACCTATGACTGTATATTAAAATAAAGGTCATTAAAAATACATAAAATGTATATGTAACTGTGTCCTCTAGATTGATTCATTGTGTTCTGTCCACACTCTCAGCTAGGAGGATGCTTGCTTGGGTCCTTAATTTTGGAATAGAGCTGGCTCCCTTACCACAGAGAGAGCAAGGTGATTGCAGAAGTGGTATTAACAGATGTGCTTAATTATGCTCATAATAAATTCCACTGATATAAGTATTTCTGAGCTCTTTTTGGTTGACAGATGAGAGCTGAAACAATTTTAAATGCACAGCCAATATGTAAAAATTTACATTCCTAAATGAGTCTGATGTAAAGGTGACAAAGAAAGATGGCATCCAGACAGAATTCTTGTTTACTTTCTGTTGATGGATGATTTGGAAAGCTGTTGCTTCATACCAGAAACCAGTAAAACATGTGTTATCTATTGCTGGCATCTCTCTTATAGAAAACCAAATCCCCCTCTGCCCCTCTCCAGTTATTTTACTGCTATTCTTTTACAGCAAAGGTTTTATCTCTGTACTGAACATGAGGGGCAGCTCCCTTAAAGAACGGTAAAGCTGCTGCTAGTGTCTCTCAGCTAGGTGACAAGTTCATTAAACTTACATTGTTTAATGATCAACTTCTCAAAACCCAAGCATGTTTGCTGTTTGACACAAGTGATGTTTATAGAAGAAAACCTATTTTTAGTCAATTTTTAGCAGGCTTTATTCCCTTGCTAATTCCTTGAGGAATTCTTTATATTTTATTGTTAAGTGTTTTTTTTAAAGGCGTGATGGATTACACAGTGTATCGATAATATGAAGCCCCTGTGGTTTGAGAGGAAGAGGTTGATAATGCTGCTGATTGATTTGCTCCTCTGCATTTGGACCAAGCTGAGAACTTGCTTTGCTCATAGCTGGGTAGACTTTGGTAACGATAACTCAAGGCTTCCCAGCTCCACAGACGGTCTTCAGTGAAGATGCTCTGGATATCTGGACTGCTGCAAGGCAGCTCAGCTTGCTTCCTCCATTCATACTAATCTCTGCATTGTTTTTGTGTATGTCTGTTCATTTTTGCTTAATGTGTCTTCTTTTTCCTGCCACCTCTTGCTCTATTTGCAGCCAGTATCATAAACTTCAGTAATGTTCCAAGGCTTGGAACATCTTGATCCTTGCTTGTCTTCAAGTGCTTGCACTGATTTATTTTATTTTTATTTTTTTTGTCAAGTTCTTTGAGATTCTTGTTCCTTGCACAAGATCCATCAGAACTTTCAGTCAGCTTTGGCTTTTGCTGATTTTGTCACTGTTGTGTTTCTGTGGATTTTCTTTTTCAGGTTAAGGAACCTGATAGCTTCCAGAGATGTTCCAATTTGTCCGACCTTAAGGACAGTCAGTACTGGTCTTCCAAAAAGTCCTAGTGTTTTTTACTTCTTCCCATGTTTTGTCCTAAGCACTCTTGCCCTACTGAGAGGGTCTTACAGTTTCCTGTAAGCGCAGGGGTAACCCTTGAATGCTTCAGCCTCGGATCAGACAGGTTCTGCATCTGTGCCTTTTCTCTTGGTATCTGCTTCAGCCTAAAGCTCTGCTGCAATATGTTGATTCATCGGCTCAGTTTCAGAGATCTTTCTCTGGAGCCCACTAAAGGCTTTTGTTTTGATTTATATTCTGTGTGATGGAGCTGAAGTTCAAGAACACATGTGACATTGGTCACTTGTCCTTTCAGATCCAGAACAAAAACAATGAAGCAGCTGTATGCCTTCTAGTCCAAACTGATGCCACTGCATGACTGAAGCAGGATGATTCATAGCAGCAGAGAACACACACACTTCAGGGAACAATATAATATAATCTCTCCTTTAATAATTTTGATTGTTTTGATATTTCTTTTTCTCTTGTAAATAGCAAAGCTCATGGTGCTTGAAATTCCTGGTTACAGAGGCTGGGAAAGCACAAATTTTTGGGGTACTGCCCTGCGTGATCAGCAGTGACAAACGACACATAACCCTTGCTGTTGAAACCTGGGCACACAGTCCTTTGCACAGACATCTGTCATGTTTATGCCAAATCATTGGCTTTTTTGGTTTGTTTTTTTTTTACATTTGGCTGCCCAGTAGCACTGTGATGGCTGTCTGAGATGCAGGGAAGAATATGAAAGAAAATACAAGTGGAGCTTGGACGTACGTGACTGAGGACTTAAGCTTGGTGCCATGTTGTGAAGAGAAGGTCGTTTTGACCACTCTGAAGTGCATGACACAGGGTAACCCATTCTCAGAAGTCCTGGTTTCTCTGAAATAAAAGCAACTGATAAGACACGAGGACAGAAACTCCTGGCAAGAACGGTGCAAAGCAGACAAGTTGTTGATCTGTAAACAAGCAAACAGATATCTCTGGATATTTTCCCAAAACTTTGGAACATAATTTAAAAATAAAATATTGTGCAAGAGTATCAAGCTTTCACAGCTGTATTCCTAATTTATCTAGTGGAAATAATTTTCTGTTCCAAAAGATTAGGAAATGGGACAGTGTTAAGAGGTTTTAAAACATAAAACATTTAGGAATTTGAGATTATTTTTAAATGCAGCATATTCTTTAAAATGTAGAACCAGCAGAGGAGAAATGTTCCTGATGCTCCCGGTTTCTTGTTTTCTGCTGATATTTTATACTGCTGAGCCAAGCTGTTGAATTTTTCCTCTGCTAAAAAGTTGTCCCTCCCGACATTTCTGTGCAGATGGATTTTGCTTTCATGTGTAAGGCTGTTCTGAAGATGTCAGTGGTACATTTTTCATCGGTTTTCTTGTAAACTCCCCTTTGTCCTGCATGCCTACAGATGGCCCTTTAGAGAAGCTCACTGATACCTTAAGTCTTTCTCCTCTCAACAGAATAAGTATCAGGCCTGCTCTGCATCTACCCACTTTTTTTCTGTGCAAGTATGTGCCTTTTCAACAAATCAGTTATGTCACTTTGTGCTCTCTAGGGAAGATCTCTGATACTGGACTTTTTGGATAGTATCTGTGGTTTACACAGCAATACAATAACTGCGTGGAAGGATTCATGTTGTGGTTTTTTTGCATATAATAGTGCTACTGACGAGTTAATGATCTTTGTATGGCACTTATAAAATTCTGTATCCTTCTGAAAATGGCAATATGAGGTTCAGAGAGCGACACTGGCTAACAACTTGTTTTCTTTTGTTTATAGTGCTACTATGAAACCTAAAGTACCACCTCCGTTACCGCCAAAGGTAAGTGAGGGGCGTTTTGTTGCCCAGAGTAAAAGAGCACTTGAAATAAATGAACAAATGCAGAAGTGTCTAAATTACTACACTCATGGTTCTCTCACTTGAGCCGTGACTTAAAGACTTGAATCAAGTTTTAAGTCAAGGGTATTTCCAGCGAGTTGACCTGTAGGTCTGTAGCCTTTAATTGCAAATCTGCCTGGAGTCTTGTGCTGTAGGATGTTTCACAGTGTGGAAGTGCTGTTTCTGACTAACTGCACTTCCGATTACTTCAGAAGGAATAAACTGGGTTGTAAAAACTTTAGTGCCACAAGTAGTTTTTAATGAACAGCTGCCAAATAAAGCATCTGCTTGTGAAATTCTGATGTCTGAATGATCATCTTTGGGAGAATGCCTGGATCAGATTACATTTTGCATGCTGCCACTTGAAGAGTAAGTGAATCTCTTCACACTAAAGTTAGCTTAATATGAGGAAAAATAAAAATAAAAAACACACCTTTTTTTTAGGTGACTGTTGGGTCTCCAGGCAAGAAGTGCAAGTTTCACTACTTACCCTACTGCACTATCTTTGCATATCTGAGAAGGATTTTACAAGTGGCATTAGTGCAGCTAGTGTCTAAACAACATTACCCTTCGGGGTTACATCCTCTATTTGGAATTCTTTACACAAAGTTCTGGCTGTAACATTGAATGTTCCCTGGCTTCTACCTAAATGTCTTCTTTGGTTATCTGTACTCATAAACAGTGACATTTCCACATGCTAAATAATTGTTCAATGCATGACTTCAATATAGCGATTCTGAATTTATCCTTTGTCAATAACAAGGTTTTCCTTGTTACTCTGTTTTTTGTTCTAATTTGCTCTTTGAAATAAATTTGCATGGCAGAACATGTTGCTTTATCAATTTACTTCTGAAAATTCCAGGATACAAATTTTGGGGTCTTTTTCATCATTGAGAAGTATTATGGCTCCTTTGAATCTTTTTTTCATTGTTTTTATTATTACTATGTCTTTTCCAGCCTAAATCCATCTTTATCCCCCAAGAAACTCACTCTTCTGAAAATGATAATCAAGGGACAATCAAGAGATGCCCAACATCAGAGAGTCCAGCAAAATCTGCATCTCAGGTTCCGCCCAGACCACCACCTCCTCGATTACCTCCACAGAAATCTAATGCTTTAGGTAATAAGAGTGACACTGAGAAGTATACAAATATTTCTTAAACAATCTAATGTGATTTTCACTTCTATATCCTCACCTAAGCACACATTATTTTGATTTTTTTTTTTCTGTGGTGGGCAAGTAACAGAAAGTGTGTGAAAGCCAAAATGCATGAAGAAGGCATGCTAAAAGTCTTAAGAAAAGGTTAAACGTACCATCTAGTAAAGTTACTGACGTGATTCCTGCTTGATGCTGTTGGTGACAAAATTATTTTTCTAGGCAACAGTCTTATAATGTAGTATATCGAGATTGACACGGGAATAAAAAAAGTTTTTGTGTATGTAGGTTTCAGATTCTGGCCCCGTGTGTCAATTGTCCTTGTCATTTGACATGTCATGAATAGAGTTTTACTTTCAAAGTTCGCTTTGATATGTAAAGACCTAGGTGGGGTAATATGGCCAGTGATTGTGTTTGTTTACTGTTCGCTCAGGCTGGTCCTTTAATGCTTTTACAAAAGTCCAGTGCCCTGAGAGTTGTCCTGGACTGGCTTATTTTAAGCAATGTCTGACTCTTAATTGATATCTTGCTAGCTCTTCCTTGCCACATATTTAGTACTGCAGCTGATGTGTTACAGATTTGACTGTAATGCTTAAGCATCCAGTGCTAAGAAATGCCTTGAGGCTATTTGTAAAGAACCCATAATTGAAGCGTTAGCTACAGCCAAGATTTTCTTTAGATGTGTTAAATACATTTTTCCTCATAAGCGTGACTGCATCTCTTTCTATGGCCACGTTAGTTAGATTTGGTATATTAATTACCAAAAGCCAAGGAATGAGATTGCGTGCTGCTCTATAGACATATGTAGATGTAGGAACATGTATACTTTAGAAATAAATTAGGGTATTGGAACATATTCTAACATACGTGGAAATTTTAGCCCTTTGAAACTGTTTCTAGACAAGTCTGCTTTTTGAGTTGAAGGTGGAAGAACACATTTTAAAATATGAATGTTTCTAGGTAATGGTGTCACTTCTGTACAATTAAATGGTGAAAGAGAGGGATCACCACTTCAACACAATGAAGCCAGAGACACTAATTTTTCAAGGAGAGAAAAGAAGGAAATGCTGGTAGGTATTCAAACTTTTAAGTGTAATTTTAAAGTTATCTCAACTGGTTTACATGTGCAATGAAAAGGAGTGGGCACACTCTTTAATATAGAAATTGTTCTGAACAGCATCTTGTTTACTTTGAATTGAAGCACAGTTTTGCTAAATCATCTAGTTGTGATACCAACTCAAACTTCATCTTAAGACTGTATTTAATTTTCATTAGAAACTAACACAGTCACGGGTATGTAAGATTTACTTCCTTGTATTCAGGTACTTGGGAGACATATAATGAGAGCAAAATCCTTCAAGAGATACAATGTGTTGTAGTAAGCAATAACTATTTAAGTGCATGAGGAAACCAAGAAGCATGCTGCCACCTCATGGCATGCTGGAGGACTTGGCTGGCCCTGGGAAAGGCGCTGAATCAGGGCTGTTCCCAAATGAGTCTGCATCCAATAAAGGATGGAGATTTTCCCTAATTCTCCTTTTGTTGTTGATTAATTTCTATTATAGAAACATTTTTTATTATCCTTAACAAGCATAGCAAGGTTGAGCTCTAGCTGCGCTTTGGCCCTCCTAATCTTCTCCCTGCATTGCTTCACTACATCTTTATAGTCTACATGAGAGACCTGTCCTCTCTTCCAACAGTCATAGACTCTCCTTTTGTTCTTGAGATCCAGCCAAAAGTCCCTATTTAGCCAGGCCGGTCTCTTTCCCCGCCTGCTCGTTTTTCAACAGGTAGGGACAGCCTGCTCCTGCGCCTTAAAAACTTCTCTCTTGAAGTATGTCCAACCTTGCTGGACTCCTATGTCCTTCAGCACATCCTCCCAAGGGACTTTGTCGATCAGTCTCCTGAACAACTCAAAGTTTGCCCTCCGGAAGTCTCAGGTGGCAGTTTTACTAACCCCTCTCGTTGTTTCTCTAAGGATTGAAAACTCAATCATCTCATGATCACTATGCCCTAGACGGCCTCCAATCTCTATCTCCCCCACAAGTTCTTCCCTGTTCACAAGGAGCAGATCCAGGAAGACACCTTTCCTGGTTGGCTCATTTATTAGCTGCATGAAAAGGTTGTCCTCCACATATTCCAGAGTCCTCCTCTTATCTCAGATGTTTTTGGGTGTTCGGGGGAATATAGATGGAAAAATGTAGCTTGAGGGTGCAGACATGCAAGCTGTTTGCCTGCTGGCCTCTGAAGCACCAGGTTGGATGTACTGTCAGACCTGAGCTCCATATACTTGTGTGAAGTTGTACTTATGGAGGCAATGCTGGTTTTCACCGTGTGTAATCTGATACAGCTGAGGAAAGGGAATATTCTTATATCCCTTATATCCCTTTCTCCTCTTCCAGGTGAGTTTTTTTCTATCAAAGCAGCAAATGACTTCACTATTTCTGTAATGCAAAAGTGGAAATGTGAGAGAGAGTGGACATCTGTAGTTAGACTGGGTTAATTATAACATGAAACTGCGCTTTTTGGGCGCTCCTTCTAAGGATGATGTTGGAAATGTCACTTTTTTGAGAGAAGGGAAGGGGAAATAGAGCAGCAACATTGTGTGCATTTTTGTTCTGTTTTAAGGAAGTGCCAGTAATACTGGCAGTACTTTGGAAAGTATAATTTCCTGAGCTTTTGAACTTGGCTTTTGAAGTTGTGTGTTTGAAGTTTCCTGTGTTACCTGTAAAATACATTTCTTCAGAAGCATGTTTTTTCAAGGAGAAACTGATACTGCTACAGGAAAGTGGATCTAGTACTGATGATAGTATTGAACAATTCAGTGGTTGCTGCAATATTGCTTAACTCTTTGGTATTGCTGGATGTGGCATTCTTTCAGGCATCATCATAATGTGAAAATGTTGCACAACAGACTATGCAGACACTCAACGAGGAGGTATTAGGGAATCATAGTAGAGGTTTTAATGAAAGAAAACGGTATTGGTAGTTCGTGATGTGTAGTCACTAGAGACGTGTTAACAAAGTTGCACAGAGTTATGGAAGTGTCGGCTGGAAGGGAGGTCTCTAGCCTAACCTCATGCTTAAAACTGAGACTGCAGCCAAAGCTCAGCCATGGCTTTCAGATCTAGTACAGGTGGTGTTGGACGCAGCGGAGTGTCCCAATAGGTGCCTAGTGCCTACCATTTACCACAGAGATACACAGCACAGCTATCTGCGGGGCGGGGGTTGTATCTATTTCTTACAGAGATTTAAGCTTTGACCTCTTACGCTCTCCTAATATGCTCATTTATCAAGTGCTTTTAACAACATTCTAAAAAAAATTCTTTAGACTTGTATTTTGGTTGTGCTGTAATGTAAGGAGAGAATAGGCGTGTTCAGGCATATATGTGCATGTGAGTGTAAACATAATGTTAAACTTTTATTTTCTAGAAACCAGTTAGTAATGGTCTTCCTCCCACACCTAAAGTACACGTGAGTATTACCGAGTCAAACAAATGCATGTTGGAAGTAGGACTTGTTTTCTTACTAAAGCTAAGAGAGTACATTTTTTGAATGGTTTGTAGTACTTTTGTAAATGACAAAAGCCAGTATCTCTTAGAAATGTTAAGCCACAGGTACAGTATTTCAGAAATCACCCTTGATTTTATGCTCTCACCTGAGAGTCTTATTTAACAAATAACCTGCTGCAGCAACTAAACCTTTGCCAGTATTTCAATTTCTTCTGTTCTCTTTCTGTGGCATATCGTTCTGATTCTTGTGTAGTTGTTTTTTCCTTTTCTGTCATCTTGAAGCAAATTTACTAAGTATTTTTATAAATGCTCGCAGATGCTTGCACTTCACTGGGGGGGAGGTGGAGAGGTTGATTATATTACACTATGCAAAACACTTAATAGGCAAACCAAATTTATTAAGGTTATAATGAATAAGGAATGAGATCTTCTACCAGCGATTTCCCTTTGGGAAGCAATCAACAGTGAAGATAAGTTAACTGAAGCAAGTAAGAGAGAATTGGAGACTAATGTTTGGTTGTTGCATAATATAGAATTTTATTTTAAATGTGTGAAATATGGCAAGAATGAAGTTTCTCTATTGAGGCTTCCTAAAGTCACAGTGTTTGGGAAACTTTTTCAGGCTTGTCACTTCTGTATGTGCTTAGACTGTTAATTTAGGATCTAATTCCAGAGTGCTAATTTTGGTATATTTGTTCAGAAAGATCCTACGCACAATGGAAAAGTCACTTAAAAAATTCCCTTTGTCTGCTTGTTGTCTGGATGAGATTATTTTCCACATGGTGAATGAAACTTCTCTTAACCTTTTGTTACTACTTTAAGTAAAAATAGTCCTGTTTGAAATGTCACATTTTAATTTTTCATATGTGTATTTTAAATTGTTTTCACCTCTACAGATGGGTGCTTGCTTTTCAAAGGTTTTCAATGGCTGCCCTTTAAAAATTCATTGTGCAACGTCATGGATAAATCCAGATACAAGAGGTAGTGTAATATGTACATTTTACCTATTTTGTCCTCTCCTCTGATTTCAACAATGCTTAGATGAACAAGACTATTCCTTTTAAAATAGATATACTGTTAAATAGGTTTATTCATGTAAACAGAAGTTCTTTAATTATGCCACTGGTATCTGAAGTTCAATGTTGGGGTTTTTTTATTTATTAAGATATATGGGGCACAGTTTTTAGCTTTGATTTACTACCCAGTATTGATTTTCCAGGTAGGTATTGACAAATTACAAACAAGAAGTCCAGGGGCAGTGCTGAAAGACTTCAGGGCCTTGGGACAACTGGTTAGGGGATCAGGAGCACAGGTAGTGTTCTCCCCTATCCCTGCAATTTCACGTACTGATGAAGGACTTAATAGAAAGTGCCAGCACATCCATACCTGGCTCCAAGCCTGGTGTGGTTGGCAGGACTTTGGGTTCTTTGACCATGGGTTTACTTACCAGACATCAGGCATTGTGTTACCAGCTAAAATATACCTGTCACAACGGGGCAAAAGGATCTTGGTGCAAGAGCTAGCAGGGCTTGTTGAGAGGGCTTTAAACTAGATTTGAAGGGGAGAGGGCATGAAACTGGTCCTCCTAGAGTGAGACATAGGCGTAGCATATCTGTGTTTGTGGGTCAGTGTGCCAGCAAGGTCCTTCCATCTGCCATCTCTTTGGAGATACGAAGAGGGAGATCCACATGGCAGCAAAGCTGTAAGTGCTATTGATGGGTTACAGACTGGAGGGAGAGCACCTGAGATGCTGGAGAAGGAATTTTGAGCCAGCAAGTCACCTGCCAAGAGGACCCAACTAAAATGCCTCTGTGTGAATGCACGTAGTGTGAGGAACAAGCAAGAGGAGTTAGAGATACGTGCTCACCTGCAGGGCTGTGTTATCGTTGTCATCATGGAGACATGGTGGGATGACACCTGGGACTGGAGTGTGGGAATGGAAGGATATCGGCTGTTTAGGAGGGACAGGCAAGGAAGAAGGGGAGGGGGTGTTGCCCTTCATGTCGGTAACAGGTTGGAGTCCACCAGACTCTGTTTGGGGTTGGATGAGGAAATGACTGTGACCTTGTGGGTCCAGATTAAAGGGAAGGCATGGGCAGGTGACATTGTAATGGGCATCTGCTACAGGGCACCTGACCAGCATGACCGATTAGATGAGACTACCTTATAGAGACCGTGGAGTTTCAGGATCTTTAGGGCAGTGAGAAAGGTATGCAGTAAGTTCACAACCATGAGTTTCAGGAGAGCAGACTTTGGCTGTCTCAGGGATCTGCTCAGTGGAATTCGGTGGGATAAAGTCCTGGAGGGAAGAGGGCCACAGGAAAGCTGGTTAATATTCAAGGATCACCTTCTCCAAGCCCAAGAGCTATGCATTCCAGCAAAGAGGAAGACTGGTAAAAACACCAGGTGGCCTGTATAGATGAACAAGTAGCTCCTGGACACTCTCACATGCAAAACAGGGCATGGAACAGAGGACAGGCAACCTGGGGGGAATACAGAGAAGTCAATCAAGTAGTCAGGTATCAGGTTAGGAAAGCTAAAGCCCTGCTGGAATTAAATGTGACTATGGATGTCAGGGACTATAAGAAAGGCTTCTATAGATACATCACTGACAAAAGGAAGACCAGGGAAAATGTAGGACCACTCCAAAAGGAAACAGGGGAGCTGGTCACTCAGGATATTGAAAAGGCTGAGGTGAGGTGCTCAGTGACTTTTTTGCCTCAGTCTTCATTGGCAAGGGCCCCAGCCACACCATCCCAGTTGCAGAGAGGATAGGCAGAGATTGGGGTACTGAAGAACCCCCCATTGTGAGTGAAGACCAGGTTCAGAACCATCTAAAGAACCTGAAGGTGCACAAGTCCATGGGACCTGATGAGATCCATCTGCGGGTCCTGAGGGAGCTGGCAGATGAAGTCACTAAGCTGCTTTCCATTGTAATTGAGAAATTGTGGCAGTCTGGAGAGATTCCCACTGACTGGCAAAGAGGAAACATAACCACCATCTTCAATAAGGGGAAAAAGGAAGACCTGGGGAACTGCAGACCCGTCAGTCTCACCTCTGCCTGGCAAGATCATAGAGCAGATCTTCCTTGAAAACTGCTAGGGCACATGGATATAGAGGAGGTGATTGGTGGCAGCCAGCATGGCTTCACCAAAGGCAAATCAGGTCTGACAAACTTGGTGGCCTTCTACAATGGTGTTACAGCATCAGTGGATAAGGGAAGTGCAACTGATGTCATTTACCTGGACTTGTGCAAAGCGTTTGACACTGCCCAGCATGACATCTTGGTTTCTAAACTGGAAGGATATAGGTCTGATGGATGGACCACTCGATGGATAAGGAACTGGCTAGATGGTTGCATTCAAAGAGTTGCAATCCATGGCTCAGTGTCCGAGTGGAGACTCGTGGCGAGTGGTGTCCTGCAAGGATCAGTACTGGGACCAGTGTTGTTTAACATCTTTGTCAGCAACACGGACAGTGGGATAGAGTGCACCCTTAGCACCAAACTCTCTGGAGTGGTTGATGCACCAGAGGGCAGGGATTCCATCCAGAGGGACCTGGACAGACTTGAGAAGTGGGCCCAGGCCAGCCTCATGAAGTTCAGCAAGGCCAAGTGCAGGGTCCTGCATCTGGATCGAGGCAATCCCAAGCACAAATACAGGCTGGGCAGAGAACAGGTTGGGAGCAGCCCTGAGGAGAAGGACTTGGGTGTGTTAGTTGAGCCAGCAGTGTGCCCTTGCAGCCCAAAAACCCACACCCAAGAAGCGTGTCCTGGGCTGCATCAAAAGGAGTGTGACCAGCGGATCAAGGGAGGTAATTCTGCCCCACTGCGCTGCTCTGGTCAGGTCCTACCTGGAGTACTGCCTCCAGCTCTGAAGCCCACAGTACAAGGACATGGATCTGCTGGAGCAGGTGCAGAGGAGGTCCATGAAGATGATAGAGGACTGGAGCACCTCTGCTGTGAGGACAGGCTGAGGGAGCTCGGGTTATTCAGTTTAGAGAAGAGAAGGCTCTGGGGAGACCTAATAGTGGCCTTCCAATGCATGAAGGGGGCTACAGGAAGCACTGGCACGGGCTGCCTAGGGAAGCTGTGGGTGCCCCATCCCTGGAAGTGTTCAGGGCCAGGCTGAATGGAGCTTTGAGCAACCTGGTCTAGTGGGAGAGAGGTGTCCCTGCCCACGACACGGGGGTTGGAACTAGATGATCTTTACGGTCCCTTTCAACGTTAACCATTCTAGGATTCTATGATGTAAAAGAATAAATTACATATCAAAGGTAAAACCCCATATTTTTTTTGGTTTTGACTCAAGACTCTTTTCAACATTTCAGTCCAAAAGATGACAATCCAAATTTAATTTTAAAAAAATCTGACTTTTGCAAGACCTAGTTGAGATTGATTTCTTTATAATTCACTTGATTCTTACCAGTGTTTTTTTCCCCTTAAATCTTTCTGGTCCCATAGGTTTCTGCAGCTCTGTATTTGCATACATTTTTTGTGCTTTATCGAATGGTGAAAGGGATAATTAGTAACATTGTACTTACATCTCCTGCAATTTCACCTGCTGATTATAGGCTCTGTAGAATTGCTACTGAGCCAGTAGGCAAGAAAATACTTAGGTTTTTCAGAAACTGAAATGATGGAAGCCAATCTTTTCCATTTGACATCTTCTCAGTATGTCTGTCTTGTTCACATGCCTAAATGCAACCCAGGATATTTATTATGTTCACGAAGTGAGACACCCTAAAAGTACTGAGGAAATGTTCCAGTCAGTGCTGCTGTTAAAGTAATCCAAAGGAAGGCTGTGAATGTGTCACAGAATACATGGACATGCTGATTTAGGATAATCTATATATGAGGAGATTATTCACATTAGTTCTTGCTTAAGGTTATATCACTGCTGATTTTATTCTACTTGTTAGTTACCAAAAAAAGACTGATCTTTCCTAGTGTCTTAACAGCCCCATCCACAGATTTCAGTTTCTTTACCAAGATGAATTTTCCATGCTTTCAAACACTGTAGGTTGGTGGGTTGGTTTGCTTTAATATATGTAATTGTTTTAGGTCTCTCTCTCTTTTTTTTTTTTCTTTTTTTTGTAAAACGCTGCATACTCTCACCGTCCTTGTGTCAGGATTTCTCTGTGTTTTGGTTTTTTTTTTTCGTTTGTATTTGCAGATCAGTACTTGATATTTGGTGCAGAAGAAGGTATTTACACACTGAACCTCAATGAACTTCATGAAACATCAATGGAGCAGGTATATGTCTGGTTTGATATTTCACTATTTTTATCCGTTCAGATTAAAGTTGTAATAATCTTTGTAAAAATTGTCTTTACCACAGTTAGAGAGGCACTAGATACACTGAGAATTACTTCAGTGTGTACTATTGAGGATAACTTTCAGTCATGTTTAACTTTTTTGTATGCTGAACCACGTTTAAGTAGGAAATATGCACATATCAAGGTGTTGAACTTCATCGTAGTGTGTTGCCCTGCAGTTAAATAGTATGAAATTTCACTGATCTATTTTGGACGACAGTTTCTATTTTCTTTAAAGCTTTGTTACAAGATAGAGTATTTGCCACAAGCATTGTGTTTCAGCACAGGGAAGCAGAGATTATCCGCTGGATCCCATTCTTTGGGTCTTAAAAGCAACTTTGTGGATGAGACTCACCTAACTGAATCCCAATTAAAACTGTCTTTGCAGAATCTTATAAATAGTAATTTTTTGAGGGGATACTGGGGAGGGGGAAATGCCGATATTGCAGGCTTTTCTGTATGGTGTCTTCTCCAGCTCTTTTGTTAATCTCTAAGAGACTTGTTTTCTTTCCCGCCTTCTCCCTAACGTAGGGAGCTGTGCATCTGCCATCAAGATGGAGGAATTTGCAAGGACAGCCTTCACACTGTAAGCTGGAGGCACTGGTGTTTGTTCATCTTCCAGGGTCCAGACGTTGTAGATATGTCTGTTGTGTTGAGAAGGCGGCCTAGCTAGCTTGCACTGAGCTCCGTGTAATCCATAATCATACCGGTGCTGGAGCTAGCTGTTTGACACTTAGCTCAGGTACCTCTGCTGCTGTACTGCAGCACTGACAAATGGAACTAATGCAATAATTCTTGTAGGCCAGGTAGACCAAGGAAAGTGTTTGCCCCCCCTTTTTTTTTTTTTCCATATTTGGCGAGCAGAACAGGTGTAATCCTTATTTTTTCTGAGCACCGTGTTTTGTAGTGCATTGCTTAGTGAGCTTTTAGGGAAATATTTTAATAAGCACTTAGAGATGAGAAGAGGTGCTTGTGAAAACAACCTCTTGTGTGGAAGGGGAGGAATGACTGACAGGTCAATGAAGCTGCAGTTTTGAAGTATTACTGTTCTTCTCTAATCCGCAGGTCCAAACCCACTAAGTCACAGTATGCTTATGCAGCTACAGAAGATCAAACTTGCACATTAAGTTTGGATACAGCCAGGCTGGTAGATTATTACTGTGGTTTTTTCTTACAGTGTGTTTAGATGATGAGAAGACTTCAGGAATAGAAGTGCACCCTCCCTGCTAACTGTTTATTACATCACTATTCATAATAACAGGGCTTTAATAGAATTTTCAGGTTCTGTGTTTTACTTCATTGTTTGCTCTTTAGGTCTGATACAGTTCAGAGTAAAAGCACAAGTATTTTTCACTACATTCCACTTCACTAATGGAGAAAGCATGAATAATATGTTTCCAGAAGTTAGCACAGCTTCAAGAGGAGTCTTGCTCTTTGGCAGAAGAAGCTTTCAGTTAATTTACAGTTCTCTTCAAATCTTTCTAATGAACCAGCAGTGAGCAGGGGGGGGTGTTGTTGCTTTGGGAGGGATTTGTTTGTTTGTTTGTTCTTGTTGTGATATTTTGTTTTTAAGAGTGAAAGAAATGTCCTCCTGAATGGTCTGTCTAGCCCAAGAGTCTGTTTCCTAAAGTGACAGTAGGAAGTGCCCATGAGCTTGGCTGTTGTCTGCCGTCCGTTCCCCTCAGACTCCCTGATGGTCACTGAGTCAGTGATGTTGGAGAATCCCTGCAGATTTGCTTTTTGTGTCCATTTATGGAGTTGTTGGGTATGAGTATGTTTAATCCCTCACTGGTGCTGTTTGATACTTTCCACCTCTGTGACCCCTTGTGGCAACAAGCCCCAGAAGCTGTGAGAGAAGAAAATATGGCTCCTTTATTTATTTATTAAGGATATCTTGTTGGTTTCAGCCACATCTTTCTCGTAATTGTAGGGTTTGACAAACAGCAATTCTGCCTTGACCACTTCTTGTGTTCATTGAACACTTAAGTGAAAAGTGTAGCAATAGGCAGGTGGAGGGTCCCTTTAAGTGCCAGTTTTAATTGTTTCAAGAGATTTGGACCATCACAGGGTTTAGAATGGCTGTGGTTTGTTGACTGTGCTTTGTTTACTGAGGTTTATTTTGTTGAACTTTTCTCATTTGGAGAGGAAAGTTTTTACAGAAAGAATTGATTGATCTTAGACTGACCTCTTGTGGGTTAATTGTAGCGTACTTGAAGACATGAATATAAAATGTGCTACCTGTCTAAATGTTAATGTGTATGTTTAGTGCCTAAGATTTACTCTGAATTAATTCTGGATTACAGGTAAATGTTACTTGGCTTAAGCTAGTTCCTGCTACAAAAAGCAGCTCAATATTAGCTTTGTCCTGTTGTCTATGCAGATATTAATTGATCAACTTAATGTGCTCATGTTTTGTGTATATCAAATTGAATGCTTTTTGTTCTTTGTGTTTTCTTCCTTTATCAGCTATTTCCTCGAAGGTGTACATGGTTATATGTCATGAACAATTGCTTGTTATCAATATCTGGTAAGTTACTGTGCTGTCTTTGAGTGGTAGTGCGGGTAAACATTTGGTTTCGTATTTGAAGTGTGGTTTTGTTTTCTAATTTCCAGGTAAAGCTTCTCAGCTCTATTCTCATAATCTGCCAGGACTCTTTGATTATGCAAGGCAAATGCAAAAGTTACCTGTTGCTATTCCAGCACACAAACTCCCTGACCGAATACTTCCCAGGTAAAAACACATCATCAGATGCATCAGAATATCTTAATTCTGGGAATTCAGGGTAGGCGTCTGAAACTCTGGGAATAGGAAGTAATGTGGAGCACTGTTCACAGACTGCCCTGAATAACTCATATGGGCATTAATCAGAGGGGAGACCCCCAGATTTGCATGAATCAAGATGTGAATATACTTTTACTAGAGAAGTGCTTTTCGGTACCTCTTACTTTCTTGTCATGAAGCCTCTTGATTCTGGGCATAGATCTTTTCAGGTATAGTCTAGGATGGTAAATCCTGATTGGACTTGATGCCACCCAAAATCTAAGGTTAGTATTGTCCCTGTGATGTTTCAGGCAAGTAGAAATTGTGATCCTACATGAGTTACGCTGCGCACTATCTTTCCATTCTATTAAAAAAAAAAAAAAAGTAAGGATATGTAATCTGGTAATGCAGGGGTAGTGGGTTATTTTGAAGACTGAGAAGAGTAGAAATGGAGTACTGACTTGACATTCCTCATTGGCTAGACATTTTTCAGAGACTGTCGTGGAAAGTACTTATATCCCCAGAAGCCTACAGCACTTTGTGCACTCAGTCCCTCCAGTTTCATTTACTAACGAGCGCATACAAAATCCCAGAGACTGGGTACAGTGCTGGCTGCCAGGCAGGCCTTAGGAGCCCATGCAAATTCAAGAGGAGGAGGTAGTAACATTAATCTAGTTTGCAGAGTACTTCTTAAAGTACTATGTACTATGTACTTCTTAAAGTACGTAGTGAATTGCTGGTTCTCATATAACAGGCTTTCTTTCAGGAAATTGTATTGTAGAAGGCCTGATTCTCTGCTACCTTTGGTTCTATTTAACAGCCTATTAAGATTTAATTCTTGGATTCAAGAAAGGCTTCTTTTTCAGTCATCTGCAAACATAATGCTGCAGCACTCATTTGAAAATTATATTCCTCCTAGAGGCTAAATTCTACTGACCTAAGAGATAATTTGTGCTTTGCAATGTTGTCTTCTGTGTGCCTGCACCACTATTCTGCTCTTTTCTCTTCCAAACTGACTTTGGCTGGGTGACTTTGGCTTGAGGACTGTGTAAGTGGTGGACTAATAACTATAATTATCATAAGGATCATATGAGGAAAACCTTGGACTATGTGAAGCCTGGGATGACACTTCACCTAAGCTGCAGAGAGCTCGGAAAGTTCCTTGTCCAGTCACATCCTTCCCAGGACAAATGCATTCCGATCGGAATGTGCGAGTGCCAAACCAGTCATTCAGAGGCAGGGAAGATTCATTTAGATAATCCATCATGCTGTTTTATCCCTTACTGTAAGGCATCAGGGTAGTAACATTGAGCCAGGCAGGAAGTAGTAGTGCATTTGGAGCTTTGTGTTTTTGTGGGGGTTTTTTAACCTACCAGACCACAAAGTGTATTCTTTAGCAAGTCCCCATGATGATGGGTGCTACATAAAAAACATAGATGCATTAAAAGCAAAGTTTTCGTTAGAGAAAATGCAAAACAAAATAGAACTCAAAGTAATGTGTGAGATTCGTATATTCGTTTGCAAAACTGTCTAAGGTCAATTTATGGTACTTGGTAGGCAAACATTCAGTAGCAGAAAGCACGTCTGTAATAAGCCTCCTGTCCAGCTTCTTTCCTTTGAGTGTCCTTGAGCAGTTCCTTTCAAATCTTCCATGACTTCCTGCAAACAAAATCTGTGGCCAATACTCAGTTTTCATGCTGCTCAGTCCCGCTTCATTATCGGTCACTCCTGGAGAGCTTCACTTGAAATGCTGTGCAAGTATTTCCCAGTTCATACCTTTGCGGCATCTGTCTGTCTGTCTATCGCTCCACTTATTCTCGTCCTTTCTACAGCATCAGATTAATTACTTTTACTGTGAAGGCTGCTCTGGCCAATATCTATACTGTCATCTTCTGGTCAGTGTAGAAACACCCATTCCCAGTGCCAGCAAGTAACAGCATCTTCACTGGCTTATCTGATAAATTTTCAAGTAATTGTGTTCATGATTTCTCAGGGAGTACATGAGAGAAGAACTTGCAAAGCTGCCTTCCAGTCTTCCTTCAGAGCTCCTCTTGAAATGCACGCACTGCTGCCTTTAAAAAGTTTTGCAAAATTTAAGTTGTTTAGTTTGCAAGTGCTGTGGCCCAGCAAGCTACTCAGCATTGTCTTATTTCCCGCACCCCTTGGGTCCATGTCTTTGTCCTGGGGACATTGTAATTCAAGAGCGGACTTCGTTGTCTGTGTATTATCCAGCACAACATGCAGTAAGTTACAGCATTACACAGAACGATCATGGGAGTATGGATAGACTAGACTATCAGGCATGTGTATAATTACATGTAATTAAATGGCAAGAGATAGTGGTGACACTTGAAGGTGTGGAGATACCTATTCCTCTCCGTTCCTGACTTCTGTATTCATAATATTGCATAACTGAGCAGCATCTCAGTGCTAACAGAGGGATCACCATTTGTGTTTTAGGCATGTGATTTTTAGAAGACACACGCAGATAAATTTATTTTTATTTTATCGGGGGGAGGGGGCAAATATAGTTTTCCCAACAATGCCGCTCTAAGAAGCAAATTAATTCAATTGTTTTAGCTGATCAACAATTCTGCATTTTTATTTTGTAGGAAGTTTGCAGTGTCAACAAAAATTCCTGACACCAAATGGTGTCAGAAGTGTTGTGTTGGTAAGTAAAGATCTGCAGAATAAAGGCCAAGAGGCAGTACAAATGGTGGCAGTGTAGTGACTGCTGAGTCAGGTTTAGGAGGCAAAGGGAGAGGAGACTTTTGTCATTATTATGAAACTATGCATTTGCAGATGCTAAGCTTGTTCAGCTTAGTCCTTGTGTTTAAGTAGTGAACACTTTCCGGTTTTGTTCTTTATCTTTAAAGACAATTCTCAAGGAATGTAGAGAAGCAGAACACATGTAAAATTTAAACCAGCCCTCAGGAGGAACCTGACCTCCATGGATGGAGTGACTTAAAGAGGTTACCATCAGGCTTGAGAAGCACAATTTGCACTTATCAATAAAAAGCAAGGAGCATTTTTGATTCTTTGAGGACAGTGCCATCTCTGAAGTCTTTATAGTGTGTTCAGAGGGCCAGCTACTCAAATGTCAAAGCTGCAGTGTGTTAAGACGTGTTTTAAAAGGAGGATGTGGGCAGATAGATTAAAAAAAATACACAAAACAACAACAAAACAAAAAAAACCACCCACAACCCCACCCAAAAAATCAAAACCACCGTGTAGGTCCAGTCAAGCTGTTAGTGTTACTGTATGCGGAAGGGAACACCTGAAGGGGTGGAGTGACACTGACCAGGTACAGTCGCTGGCTTGCTGACATGAAATTTAATTTGGACATCTGTACGTTTTCAGGTCTGCTTGTGAAATGAGAAATTCGATGGTGTGCTCCTCTGCAATTCTATGTTTCTCTACTAACAGGCACAGAATTTAACAAGAGTGCTGTGGGATTTAGGATTATGAGGGGGATGCTGTCCTGGCATTCAGAGATAGCTCAGCCTAATAAGCCTGGAGTCCTTCTGGCATAAGAGGTCTGAGGGATGGTTTGTGGTGGCAGTGAGGCTGGCTGCAAAAGGCAGGGCTGAGGGGAGAAATGATAGATTCCCCTCCCCTGCCCTACTTTGTGCAGCCTGAGCCTCCTTTCCTGCTGGCAGCATAAGTATCCCTTTGGCCTGGGGCAAGCAGCAGCACCTGTCAGTAATTGCATGTTTTGTGGTTTCTGCTGCTGAGTTCATGCCAAGTGCAATTTGCTGCAGTTTGCAGTGGGTTTGACCAATGTTGACTGTTGAGGACTTGGATTAATGAAATTAAGCTTTGATGTTTAAGGTGCTGAGAGATTGCAAGTGGATTTCCATGACAGTAAGGTAGCATGAGCATATTTCACTCATGTAGATAATACTGGGTTGTAGAAGCTTGTTATCTGAACTCTGTTAGTAGCTTGAGGGCCCACAGTCACTTAATAAAGTGACTTTTAAAAGCGCTTTAAAATCAGGTCTTTAGATGTAATTGTACAAAGCACAGAGTAACACTTGTTAGTCTTAATGGATATGCTGGCAGTGCTTAAGGAGTGAAATTTTGTCAATACTGTAGGATTAAAGTTGTGAAATTTCAGATTTCATGGTGCCTGATTTCACAACTTTATTGTTCTCTTCC